CAAGGATGGAGACTCCACCCCCTCTCTGGGCAAACTGATCCAGTGTTTGACCAGTCTCAGTTTAAAGTGTTTTATGTTTAAATAGAATTTCCTATATTCCAGTTTGTGCCCACTGCTTCTTGTGTCCTGTCACTGGGCACCACTGAGAAGAGGCTTGCTCCATCTTTTTTATACCCTCCCACTAGATATTCGTACACAAGGGTAAGATCTCCCCTGAGCCTTCTCTTCTCCAGGTTGAAGAACTGCAACTCTCTCAGCCTTTTGCAGGACAGATGCTCCAATCCCTTGATCATCTTCATGACTGTAACGGTATTTCCAGACCTGGAACTCTGGCCAGGAAGTCAAGCCAGCTGCTTTTGTACCAGCTTTGTAACTTCCCTTACATTATCTGATAGAGGCAGTACTTTAACGATACCAAAGTTTTTTCCTCTTACAGGCTATTTTGTTAGTTCAACACATTGCCCTAGTCTAGACTTGGTAACTTACTACGATTTTTACTTATTTGTGTAGTGATAAGTGATTTGAAACTGAGAGAGGATCAGTAGCCAAGTCAGTAAGTAATTTGCTTGGAGAGAGGGCATTTTGTCAAAACAGATAAGCCTCCGTTTAAGTCCAAGGCTGAAGTCACAAATTAACGTTCTTTAAACTCTATTCCTAGACTAAATAAAGCTCAAAAATAATACTGCTTGCTTTCACTGTACACATGTAGTTCCACAGCATGTTGTAATAGCATTTGGTACAAACTTGTATAAAGTCAATGTTTTAATCATTGGTTGCTGGTGAGATAAGATCTTAAAAATTCTTTAAGAGTTCAATGGTAACAAGACAGACAGTTAACAGACACACAAAAAAATCATCCAAGCCTAAAAAAATGCCAGTTTTCCCAAGGTAAAACACTTCAGTCAATACAGCTGTCAGATATGTTCTCTTGCACTAATGTAACAGAAGGTATAGACTGTTAAACTACTGTTCCAATGGGACAATCAGTACAGCAATAAAAACTATTATTTGAAGTCAGTATTTTGATTTTGCTACTCCATATTTACTGCAAGGTGACTGATGCCAAAGAAGTTGTTACAGAAATAAACTGTGCCCTTTAGTTCAAAGTACTGCTGTGATCACAATTAGAACTATGACCAGTTTTCAAGACCGTACTGGTTATTAGAATTGCTAATCGCACCCCGACTGCCCACATTCTGTACATAACAATCTGGCCATCAGGTACTATCTCAGGTACCCCAGATTTACAGAGGTATCTACTCAAATTCATATTTTTAAGTGTACTCTTAAGTTCAGTATTTAAAACTGACTCACTGAAATTAGATCAGAAATCTGATTGTTCTCAGCAGAAACCAAGACTGACCTAATCTAATAATCCTGTTGTAATATTTATGCATTCAACATACAAATGTTGATACTAATTGAAATCAGTTCCAACTTAGCCATGAAAACTAAAAGCCAGATGAGTGAAATTACCTTCTCACAAACACTGTTTTCCAACCTCACAGGGAATACAAGTGATAAACATATGTATCAAAAATCCACCTAGAAGTAATTGAAATAACTGGGACTCACTTTTCATAAACAAAAGAATCCTTAACTTATTGAAAGTGGATTCAGTTTTTTCAATTGAAGTATTCAGCAGATTAATGTTTAGTAAAGCTTGCTCTAACAAATAGATGAGTCACAATACATTGCATACAACCACCCTTTAAGCCATCAGACCTCACAAATCCCAAATTCGTAGCAATGCAATAGATGTGTTTTCTAGCCACTTTTTTTTAACACAATAAATCTTAGCACTAAAAGAGAAGCCATACAGAAGACGAGAGGCTGTCTCATGTGCTTCATAGACAATGTTTGATTAGTTTTAGAAATGCTTACAGTTCACTTGAATATGTTTACAATCATGAAAGATAGTGAACATTTATCAGTCACAGGGTTCATAAATAGTACCTGTATGTACATTGATAGGAAGTTACAGCTATGTGCAACGGTGCAAGAAACCCAGATTTAACTAGTTAATCCCATGCACCCTAAATCTAAAGTTTAGGTAATACATGTTTCTTAAAAACTGCCTTTTTTCCATAAGCTTCTCTTAACAGATTAAAAAGGAGCATGGTACTTTATCAGCTGAAATAAATAGTAAGAATATATCTTATACAGTTAAAATATCTTATAAATACAGTTAAACTGTATAAGCATAAAATCCAAAACCAGATTCTTACATTAGCTTCATAGAGGGATAAAAAGTAAGACAGCATTGCAACTATTCAAGTGAAACTTGTACTCAGAAGTCCTGAACAGCAATTTCTAGATACCTTTATTTTTGAGAAACTGTAGGAGACTAGTTCATTCATCTTAGAAAAGATATATAGCAGGACAAATAGTCGTGTGATTTCCTGTTCTTAGAACCATTGTTCATTCTTATTCCTGAGTTTTTAACTCATTATGAGAGGAGCTTCATTTATTGAAAAGAAACACATAGAAAACTAAGGAGTAACTTCTTTAAGTTAATGTCATACATACAATATATGGTTTGCCAGGAGAACCTCTGAAGGGAAACATGCATGAAGAGCCTGTTTATTTCTGTTTGCATACCGCAGTTTGGTTGCTGCTTTTAAGAAAAGCTATGAACTGGGAAGCTACTATCCCAGGAATTACACCCAAGTTAGAAAAAGAAAGTGGGAATCTCAAGTATTTGCAGCAATCACCTGCTAACTCCTAAAGGCATAGAAGTTTGGCAAACAAGTATTTGCTGAAACACCCACTAATATTCACACTAATGAATGTCTCAACCACCTGAAAGGCCAGAGCTCACAGGAGTCATACACCTGGCAGATACAACATTTTAATAGTTACCCCACAGCACCAGCTGAGTATTTGGAAAACACAAAGCACCACTTCCATTCAGACCAAAACTAGATCAAAAGTTGTCATTATCCTTTTCCTGTAATGTAACAAGTAATCAAGTATCCACTCAACACATGCAAGTAGTTAGGAAGGCAGTTCAAACAATTCCATACATGTACTGGAGTCTACATTCCATACATTCTGGGAAAAGTTATGCTTAGCGAGACGTTCGCTTTGGAAGCTACAGTACTGTGTAGACATCTCTTAATCTTCACATAAAGAACTTAATTATCAGAGTACGCTATGGTAGATACTGCATTGATGGTGTTTCTGCTGACTCAGCTGTTTCAAGTGATTAGCAAATAGTAGTTGGGAATCAATTCTCTCCAGTCTGATTCTCATGAAAGACAGATGCTGCTTATGTTGTTTTGATCTACTGAGTTATACCTTCTTATATATTTTGAGACCTAGAATTACAGAATCTTACATTCTTTTAATCTCATCTGAGAAAGCCTATGGGGAAGGAACAAGAAGCAAGGAAGGATTTTTCTTGTTCTGCTTCTCCCCACAGTAGAGAACATAAGGTTATTAAACAAATGCTAGAGTGATGTCTGGCCTCGTGGAAGTCTATGGTAATTTAAGGGATCTTAGTAGCACCAGGATTTCACACTTCATTTTTCTTCCAAGACTGCCACCTCAAATATACAAACTGTTCCCTATGCTAGCACAACTGTATTTATTCAGCATGTATCCTTTATAAAAGGAGGAGACTGGCTGTTTACTTTCATACTCTGATGAAGCTCAATGTTTAGTGGTTAAAAATTCAAGAAAACTTGAAGAAAGGTGATGAATCCCAAAAGGAAGTCCAACCCAGTATTTTAAATGTGTCCCCCATGTCCCACATGGTTTAGTTTAGTTACCCTAGTGTTTTACACAAAATAATAACTTCCTTACAAATAGATGAATTAACAATCAATATTTAATTTTTAAGCCAGCTTTCCTTTTTTCTTGGGTGGACCTTTGTAACCTTTGGCCTTTCTTCGCAAGTTTCTCCTATCTACAATGGGTACCTCAATTTCTGCTTCCTCAGAGCTGCTGTCAGCAGCCCGCTCTGCCACTGTCTGTGTGTACTGATCCATCTGCTCAGCAGACTCTTCTGAGTGTTCTTCCAACTGGTTCTTCTGTACTTCCTGTCCAGAAGGCTGCTGAAAAGAAACACCCTCGAGTTCAACCACTATCAAAGAGCTCCGACTCAAAGCAACAGGGGCTTTCTGTGAGTCATGCCCTGCTTCCTCATTTTGATCTTCCACTGAGGAAGCTGTTTTAGGCAATACATTTTCAGAAACAGATTCTTCTGCTGCTTGAATTACCATAGAGTTGGGCAGGCCACTGTCAGAGGGTTCTTCCTTCCGTGCTGAAGCAGCTGCATTTTCAGTGGATGACAACTTCTTTTCAGATTCTTGGTGGTGTTCTTCAGTGCCCTCCTCTACTGATGTGCTTTCTTCAGTCAGCACTTCTGAATCATTTGCATTTAAAACCTGCAGGGGGAGGGGAAGGGTGCCAAAACAATCAAAGGGACAATTAATTGAAGATACAAGAGGCTGAACAACTATTGCCCCTAGCTAGCAACCTCAGAGGCTATTTTGGCATTCAGCATGACTACATGCACAGTCAACAAACCAGTCCTCTCCTCCTTTTTGCACAAGACTATTTTGTGAACTGCATTTGATATCCAGAGTTGCTCTCCTATTTTCAAATTCAAATTATTCAATGGATTATTCAGGTACAGTAAAGACATTCTGAAATTAATCCCGGGGAAAAAAATAAAGGTGTTTTATTTTAGACAGATATAATTATCATTTTGCTACCATAAAACAGTAAAAAACCAGTAAAATCTGTGTTCTAGAAGGGTATTTTACCATTAATTAATTGCTTGTACACTTCACCAGTGCAGAATTACTAGATAAAGAGAGGACGTGGCTTTTCACTCATATCCAACTAATATTTTTAGTGAGAAATAGCTGTTTCATTACTGCCAAGGCAAACTGGAGCAACATATCTTTCTTTTCGGCATCACATACTTATATGTCCCACTTCTGCATATTAAAACAGAAACATTAGTATATTCTATTTATGGATTTACATCATCTGGCCTAATAATTGCTTCTCCCAAGAATTTCGTATGATGGTAGGGGCTACTTTCTATCTGTTACTTAACAAAAGTAAAAACAGCAAGGTATGTACACTCTGAAGGAAAGACAACTTAACATTTTGTTTCAATTCTCTCACCTCTGATACAGTGTCTTCCGAAGGTTTTGCTGGAGACTCAAGGATTAATGGAACAAACAGCGTTAAGGGTTCTTCTCCTTGACTCTCAGACTGCAATTTTGATTCACCACCTAGAACTTCATTTTCCGTTTCCTCTTCAGCCATAATTTTACCAATTTCTTCTGTTACCTCACCGTTAAGAGGTTCAGATGGAGTTTCCTAAAAAAATCACATTTCTAAGTCAAGATTATACCCAACTATTATTCCCAAACACTAGTGGGTGTATCTGTGATCTAAATTTGCAGCTTATTCTGAGAAGCAGCTAGCTCAGGTACCTAGAAATTACTAAGGTATAGCTTAGCATAGAGTAGCTATCCAGCTACTTAACCAGCATATTAGCTTGGTGTTGTCACCTGTATTAAGTTTCTGACTATGGCTTACACTGTTAGGAACCAAGCAGAGTAGTTTTTATGCATCTCGCAAGCATACGTGCTGCAGTCCTTCCTTGAAACCATACGTTAATGAACTCAACATAGTGTAAGATCCACTTTCTCAACGATTAGTAAGAACCTAAAACCCTGGAGGTATCGCTAGGCACAGAGGGTACTCCCAGATTTTAATTCAAGCTGGTAACAAGTATTTGTAGATAAACGTTGGATTTAAAAATCAAAGCAGGCAAGCTTTAAGGGGAGAAATAAAGAATCAACAGTAGTCACTGAAACATACCAGCTATTAGCTTCTTCAAAGATTTTTTTTATTTTGTTTTTTAAATTAGAGATACTGGATCAGATCTTGACCCTAAAGGAATATTCCCTGATACTAATTCTATCCTAGCTTTAGCTAGTATATAGATATACTTCTCGACAAAGCATCAGTACAAAAAGCAAAGAGTTCATAGTCACATGGATCAAGGCAGCAAGGACCATACTTAACAAACTCTAGTTGTATTCCAAACTTCTTATCTGCTATTGCTATCACATCCAGCTCACCTCCTTCTCACTCCATTTCTCAGGGGGTGATGCATGTAACTCCATTTCTGATACAGATCGGTCCTTATTTTCAACAATCATTTCCTCATCATTCGCAACAGCATTCTCCTCAGGTTCTTCTACTAAGTCTTCAGAGCTTTCAAATGTGTGGGCAGGAAGTTCTAGCCTGCAGAAGGTATTAAGATATATCCTTTAAAGTCTTTTAGATTAATACATAATTTTGGTGATCTCAGCAGCAGGGAAATTCTTTCATGACCAATTTTAAACTGCTATATCACATACTTGCCATAGGAAATATGAATCCAGAAAAATAAATACATCTAAAAACAGCTAAATCCTAATTAGGAAAAATACTGAAAGGGTTAAAGCCAAGATAGACAAAGCCACTGCATCAAAATGCCTCCTGAAAAGCCTAGGGGCAAGGAGGATATTTAAATATCTTAGTCACTTAACTAAACAAAAGAAAGGCCTTTGGGATTTAGGGAGTAGTTAGAATGGTTGTAAGATAAGGGGGGCTCCAAGATAATCCCATCTCAGACAACTGGGCCTTGGGAGAACAAATGCATGGAAGATAGGAGACACCAGACATTTTGGTGCAATCACTCTTCAGGTGATGTCTCAATTTCCTTTCTCACACCAGGCTTTATTTTCAGTAATTTTAAAATCAAGCACTCGAACAGAATAGGAAAAAAGGAGAATAAATACCAATTAGCACACTGAAAGACACTGCTGCAGTTTGTGACTGCCCAAGCAACAAAATAAGAAATAATCAATGGAATATGGGCTCCTTTACCTGCTTTCTGACACATGAAGAACATTTTCCTCATTTCCTTTGGAAGTTTCAGGTTCAGATTCCTGGCTATTTTTTCCTATCCTGGGATGTTTTAAATGACTGCTTCGTATCCGAATGGAAACGGGAGTTATGTCAGGGTCTTAGGTATAAAACAAAGTAAATGCAAGTGAACAAATGCAGTCTGTAAGATCTGCACATATTTCCCCCCCAAGTTTCATTAAAGCGACTGAGTGCAAGTAAAACATTTCACTGTGGTACTTATTTTCTGAATATACATGCATAGTCTCTTTACCAAGACTCATAACAATTTTATCCAAAGACCTCAAAATGTTTATGAGTTGAGCCTCAACACCTTAGAGGAAGGCATGTTTTTTTATACACTTTGCAGATGAATACGCTAAGCTTGAAAGCAGTAAAAGAGCCTGCTAGTCTACTAATCCACAGTAATCACAATACTGATAATCAAGGTTATTTTTACCTTCAGATGTGCTTGCATGGGCATCTATTGATTCTTTACCTTTTTGAGAGTCAGCCTGTGAAGCAAAAGCAAGGCTAACGTTATTCCAAAAACTTCTGAATTGATTGAAATACCTTCATCTCCCTACCTGTGGTTGCATCTTTCTAAAGCATTATTTCATAGTAACGATCTTATGGAAGAGCAGCTATAACCATTCTTAATTTAAGACACTTATATATATGTATCTTATCTCTCAACAGATAAAATATTTTTTATCATCTTTACTACAAGCATGAATATTTTTTTCTACATTTTAATTCTGTCTTCAACATAGAAGATAAGACTTGAAAGTAACCTGACATTATAAATGACACTACCAAGTTTTCCCCTAACCATTCAGTTTATAACAGGTGTCCACAGAATTAAATGCTAGAAGTCTTTTCCTTCCCTTTTTTTTTTTTTTTTTTTTTGAATAAACCTAAGGGACTGTACTACAGTAGTTGACAAAATTTATCAGGACAGTTTTATTATTATACTTGTATTCTATTTTGTAGTCTTATTTTTATTGTGGCACACAATAAAATATGGCAGCCCATGGGTTATCTTAAAAGAAAAAAAAAATCAGACAAGAAAAAAAAAAAAACAGAACTTTTAGTGATTCAGCAGTAATGCAGGTTACATGCACAGTCAGCACAAGAGGCTGCTTATGTCAGAGCTCCCTAGAGCTCTTTTGCCTCTTTTTCTTCCCCACCACCCCATATTTCCATTTTTTCTGCAAGTTAGCTGAGGACTCAGTGGTCAAGCACTTGATACTCTGAAGTGGGTGCAAGCTATACACATTAAAATAAAAGTATGCACATTGCTCTTTCTTAGCTGCTGTAAGTAATCTAGAACTGGCAATAACCAGCATCCAGGTGTTCTGCCACCTTTTCAGCCTCCCTTCCAGTACTACCCAAGAAGGCCAGAAACAAGTGGCCATATCTACAGTCTGGTGCCTGAAATAGTTTCAAGTAAGCTTTAAATACATAAGAATTTGTAGGCTAATGATAAATCATTCTAGCATCAAAACACACAAAAATAGGGAGCACTAAGTGAAAGGTGAAAATGTAATTTGGGGTATGTTTTTTTCTGGTCTGGGGGAAGGTGAGGTATTTTATTTTGTTTAGTGGTCCAACAATTTTCAAAAAGTGTTGCAGAACTCGTTACAGATAGTGCAGGTGCCAAGAAGAGAGCTGCCAGCAATTCTACCAAGCTATGAGGAGTTGGAGCACTTTGGTGTCTATCATCTTCCTCTTCTGGAAGAAGGCAAGAGACAGGGCTCAAGTTCTTAACAGCCACAAAAATCGTAAGAACTACTAATATCCCTCTGCTATTTTCTCCAAGTATATCCATGTAGCTCTACAACCACAACATGCATTTTTGAGATCGTTTTGCTGATATTATTATTGGAATCTGAATCTAGAACTCAGTGATGATGCTCAAGACACTTTACAAATTAAAGATAACTAAGATTTGTTGCTTCTGATCATTTAGAGACTAAAAACATCACTACTTTGCTGTCAGTTTTGCTTTGGGAAATGCTAATTTTCTCAACTGGGAAAAGGGACATTTGATTTACATTTCAAATCTAAAGTTTAGATACGAAGAGCTGAAAGTACAGATTCAACCATTATTTCCTATTTTTAATTAAAGCATTGACTTCTATGAGAGTATGGTCATGTCAATACTACAGACAGTATTGAAGCACACAAATCCATCCTCACTGTATTTGGAGCTACAAGTTTTTTCTCAAGCACATTCTGTGTGGCCTCAGAACACAAATAAGATAGAGGAACAGCTTCATAATATTCTAAGACACAAATATATTCATGACCACATATCCATATGTAGCTGAAATCTGGTTGAGATTTCAAATACATACAAAGAAAGCTACAGTCCTCCTATACAGTCAATGTATAACTCTGAATGCAAACTAAACACTTTCCATTGTATTGAACTGTGATGTGAATGTGCACTTCTATAAACACTTTTCCTCATTCTCTCCACTCTTACGATGACTCTACTGTTCAACAGCCTTTCTAGACAGTTTAATCTCAGAGCCAGTTGAAATACTCTCCTTCTCTAAGCTGCTAGCAAACAGCTCAAATTACTAGACCCTGACAGGTATGACAGACCCTCTAAATTCATGGGACACCCCCCCCCCCCCCAA